GTACTTCTTGAGAAATAGCGATAACAAACTTTCACTATCAAAATCCAAGATGGCTGCCTGTCGGCCATGTTGTTTATCCGATCAGTCTCAAAAGTTGCCCTGCAGAGCTAAGGACCAAGGGGAACCTGCATATAAAATTTGAGAAAGATCCCTCTGGTACTTCTTGAGAAATACCGATAACAAGAATTGTTTACGGACGGACGACGGACCACGGACGCAGGGTGATTTGAATAGCCCACCATCAGATGATGGTGGGCTAAAAAGACATTACGACAAATCTTCACAAAATATAGCAATCTATTTTAGTTTTGAATACGCTCCTAAATGATCTATATATATAATGTCATATCTTATATATGTACAATAAAGTCTGTGGTCAAGTAAATATTGGATTAATATTAAGTCGTAGGCGTTAAACCCCAAACAAATAAACCATCGGTTAACATCCAATAAAATCGCTGTTAATTGTAAGATAAGCTCAATCGATTTTGAAAATTTAGTCCCAATTTCACAATTGCACAAGTTTGTTTACATAAAAAGGAACATCTTTAATGATTCCATGTTATAATCTATTATACATTTTTGACGTAATGGGATATTCAATGTGACTTTGTATATTATCTTTAGACCAAAGTGATGTTACTTCTAATCTTAGCTGTTGATAGGACGTCAGATCGTATACAAAGAAACACAACTCTGTAAGTAATGTCGACTTGGTAGTGACGTCAATGATAATTGAACTATTAACAAAATGAATGTTAAAAGAATGTTCATGGAAAATAAAGCATGTTTTACTCTGTTTATTACATACTTACTAAAAACAATACGGATGACATTGTTGGGTATAGATGGGAACAATTAGAAGTTTTCCAAAAGGGGTGTGATACGGATTTTTAGGGTGTGAAATGGCAAGGGCTTATATGGGTTTTGGAGTGTGATATGCCGAGGTCTTATATGGGTTTTGGGGTGTGATATGGCGAGGATTTATACGGGTTTTGGGGTGTGATATGGCGAGGGCTGGTATTGGTTAGAGCAATTGTGTCGACAAAAAACCCGTATTTATTAGTAAGTATGTAATAAAAAGTGATAATGTACTTTTATCTAATCAATCGACAAATAAATCCGAAATTGTTCAAAAACAAAGTTATGCCTAGTCTGTGGTAAAAACTTGGAATGAAGTTTGATGAACGATAATCTTTCCCTTGATATTGAAATGTATGCATACGAAACAACAGAAGAAAAACATAGCATGAAAATAGATTTACCGGTGTGTTAATAAAGGGCATTAAAATATAACACATTTAGCTGTTAGCTTGAGAATATATGAGTGATTTAAATTACCGTTTGTCATCACCAATTTATAACCGTCTTTTATCCGACGTCCAACCCATGCCTTTTCTTGTGGTACATCCTGTATAGCGATATCTTTTACCAATTCGCCTCCAGACTCCTTGCAGAATCTGACAGCGTCCGGCCAAGTCATTAATTCTTTATAGAATGTAACTGTCCATAACATGTTAAAGCAGAATAGCAACATTTCAGACATCTGTGGATTACCACGTATTATATAACAACAAAGTCACGGTTAAACACGAATAATTACAGCAATTATATCAATTAAAACAAAGTAAAAACACAAATTAAAAACACATAATGTCCATTTTAAAAATGGTCATGGATATCAAGACCACTACAAAAACTACCAATTTTATTTAGATGTATCTGAAAAGACGAGAAATATTGGAAACGTTCATTTTTTGACGCTGTTTTGAATTTTGTATGTTGTAATGGTTCCTCATTGTTAAAATCGTGTCGTTAGTACTTTGTAAACACAAATAAGCTAGAGAAAGTCACCAGGAAATTTTCACGTTTAGATTGTCGAGAACAAGAAAGCATCAACGCATGAATGGGACATTATAAAATCATTAATGTTTCTAATTATTAATTTGCAAAACCTACCTGCCCATACAACAGACACTTCCAGAACAAAAATTCCAAATGTGCACATCAGTTTTAACTCCATTGTTTACACCGCTGTAACCAGGCTCCACTGTAAGGTTAGCACAATAATGTCTATGTTTATATAGTACATATATATAAGGGTTATCTCTATACGCCTAATTGCAGTCAGCACTTGAGCTAAGTGTTCGATGGCGCTGTCCCACATCCGATTTCCAAGTAGTTTCATATCAATGTAATTAACCATCAAACAAATGATAATGAAGAGCATGAATTTGCCTATTTTATATGTTTATTTAACCATTCGTTTGCTATTAATATACATTTATATTGACATCTTTAAGCATTTTAACCTTTTGTTTCTTGTTTTTATGTATTCAGTTTTTGTGAATGTCTATTTTTACACTGTTGTTTGGCCCTAAATGACACAAATTGTCGATGGGCCGTAAAACAATACCAAATACAAATCATATATTTATTTAAAATTTGAAACGATAAACAACGATAAACTAATGATATCAACCAGTGTTTTCTCTCTACAATATTCTTTCCTTACTAATCTTAAAAGCAGTGTATGTAACCGTTTATTCGTGTGTGACAGTTTTAATCTTTATTTAATCACAAAAAATTGTAATAACTTTGATTTCAAGCACGGTAGTCTAGTGGTAGGACGTCGGGCCCGTGATCGAAGGGTTGCGGGTTCGAGTCACGTCACGGCACTGTGTTGTATCTTTGAGCACGATTCTTTATTTCGCTTGTTCCAATCTACTCAGCTGTAAATGAGCACGTGGTTGGGCAGGTGCTAGAATTGTTGAGTGCTAGTCGTGAGCGCCGAAATGGCAGCACCGGCTGCATGCTCCTTATGAGATGAGTTGAGAAAGATATTGACTGGTTACAAATGCCCTAAAACCACGGATAAGAATTTGTGAATTTGTCAGACGACCTACGAAATAGGTTGTGATAAGTGGTAAATAAGAGCCTCGAATTATTATTATTATTATTATTATTATTATGGCAAAACTTATTAGTCTTCAGAACGGCAAAAGCCATATGAAGACGATATTAACGATTGATGTGACCAAACAGGTATTTCCTTTATTCACAATTTTATTGATTATAATCAAGCAGATGTAACCTTAGTCAACATTATATATAGCATCTCCGCCTAATAGATCTTATCATGAGAAAACAGATATCGGAGTACTTTTTCATCAATAGTATTATGAAGGAAACAAACCCATTCAAACTGTTTTATTGACGGAAAAACAACCAAAGAGATTGGGCACACGTTCTGACAACTTACTACGCCCTCTCCCGAAATAAATAAATGCCGATGTGTCGTTTAAAAATTACCGAACACTAGGGGGTAACACTCAATCTATGATCAACATTGTATTACATGGTACGTGCAGACTTTTAAAACGAGTATGTGCTTTAGAGATAAATACAAATTGATACCGATCCTAACAATCCCCATAAATTAATACGGATCCCAACAAATGAGGAATGCTGTGGTAAATATTACCCACTATATTAACTTATCTATCTGCATCAATCATTCTTGCATTGTGATTCGTATCTTTATCTCTTTCATTAAACCGATATAACAACAACTAAAGGTCATCGCGTGCCAAGGGGTATCTAGTGTACATACATTTAAGATATAGTAGTTTTCATAGGTAACCTGTCTGATTCTCTTATCTTCCTTCACCAGTGAAGGAAAACATTTTGTTTTATCAGTAGAATAGGTTGACAGTTGGAGCGAGAAACACGTGCAACTAGGCGTCCTTCTGGTTAACAGGAAAAGGTAGGTTTTATATACATGTACGTAGAAATAAGTGCATGATTGTTCAAGTTTATTTCCTGCTCGCATTTTATACACCAAGTAAATTGTATAAACCAACTATACAAAATACAATATGTATTTATAATATTTCCTTGATTTTTTCAATAACATCATTGTTATTTATTTTGAAAGAATTTCACTGATAAGCTTACATAGTTGATTTATTTGATATAATATCAAAGATATCATCTGATAAAAACAGATGTAACTTGGTTTACTAACGCTTAATGAAAGGTTCCCGCTGACTTTTTGCAAGCAGTTTTATCATGTTTTAATTTTGTGATTAATTTCAATGGATTGGTTGGATAAATATTTGATATACTTAAGCATTTTGATACGCTAAAAACATAATCCAGATATGCTGTTTTCCAATGACACGCTGTTTCTTTGTACAGATACAAAATGCATTTGCTTCGAAAAACTATTTCCCATCGTGTACTTCGGTCAATATTGTGTATAAGCCTCGTAAATACAGAAAGAAATGGCTTAGTATTCATTTTCAATTAATTGAGTGATTTATATCAAATGGTTTATTTGTAAACGTTACTTTTGACAAAATGTTATCTCTACGAGGTCTGGTTAGATTATGCAGAAACTTTTGTTTGCATTTTGTTCTGATAGATTAACGTATACATGTAGATGATTGCATCTTTAAAATTTAACATTAGACACACTACGCTAAAATGGGTTACTTATCTTTTGAATTTGTTTACGTAGTGGTTCTACGAAATATCATGTCGTCTTGGTATTATTTGCTTTTAACTTATAAAAAATGCAATATTGACGACCTGAAAATAATGGTTAAGAACTACAGTTTAGGAGTGCTGTATTGTTATTGAATATCTAACCAATAAGTGTTTTAACAAATGTTATTATGGTCCTATAACACATATTGCTATTGATGGCAAACTTAATAAAGCCCGGTAGGGCTTTATGTAAGATTGTCTGCATTTATCTGCTAAAACATTCATTATTTAAATTTACATTTTTAATTACATTTTGATATAGTAGTTATGCTTTCAGTTATTTCGAACAGTTTTTGAACAGCAAATCAAGTGTTGACAACAATGAAATTGATGACATCAGAATAACAATTGATGACGTTACAATGACAAATGTTGTTATAGTCTCATAACAACATTTGTCTTCTCAATGCATTGAAATGGAAGTATGCGGAGCAAATATAACAACATCAACATCTGTAGCAATTATAAAACTTTATTTATCTACAATCACTTAATACTTTCACCTATGGATTCTAATGACTCACTACCCTTTCTATCTATATGGTACTGGGAATTATAATGACACTCACTACCCGAATTAACATAAGTAGTATCCATATAGTACCGGGGATTCTAATGACTCTCACTACCCTAACTCACATAACTAGTATTCATATAGTACCGGGGATTCTGATGACTCTCACTTCCCTAACTAAGATAACTACTATCCATGTAGTACAAGGGATTCTAATGACTCTCACTAACCTAACTAAGATAACTAGTATCCATGTAGTACTAGGGATTCTAATGACTCTCACTACCCTACATAACACAAGTAGTATCCATATAGTACTGGGGATTCTAATGACTCTCACTACCCTAACAAACATAACTAGTATCCATAAAGTACCGGGGATTCTAATGACTCTCACTACTTTAACTAACATAACTAGTATCCATATAGTACTTGGGATTATAATGACTCCACTACCCTAACTTTCATAACTAGTATTCATATAGTACCGGGGATTCTAATGACTCTCACTGCCCTAAACAACATAACTAGTATCCATACAGTACCGGGGATTTCAATGACTCTCACTACCCTAACAAACATAACTAGTATCCATATAGTACCGGGGATTCTAATGACTCTCACTACCCTAACTAAGATAACTAGTATCCATAAAGTACCGGGGATTCTAATGACTCTCACTACTTTAACTAAGATAACAAGTATCCATACAGTACCGGGGATTCTAATGACTCTCACTACCCTAACTAATATAACTGGTATTCATGTAGTACCGGGGATTCTAATGACTCTCACTGCCCTAACTAAGATAACTAGTATCCATCAAGTACCGGGGATGCTAATGACTCTCACTACTTTAACTAACATAACTAGTATCTATATAGTACTGGGATTCTAATGACTCTCACTACCCTAACTAAGATAACTAGTATCCATAAATTACCGGGGATTCTAATTACTCTCACTACCCTAACTAATATAACTAGTATTCATATAGTACCGGGGATTCTAATGACTCTCACTACCCTAACAAACATAACTAGTATCCATAAAGTACCTGGGATTCTAATGACTCTCACTACTTTAACTAAGATAACTGGTATCCATGTAGTACAGGGATTCTAATGACACTCACTACACTAACTAACATAAGTAGCATCCATTAAGTACCTGGGATTCTAATGACTCTCACTACCCTAACTTATATAACTAGTTTCCATAAAGTACTGGGGATTCTATTGACTCTCACTACCCTAACTAACATAAGTAGTATCCATATAGTACTGGGGATTCCAATGACTCTCACTACCCTAACTAACATAACTAGTATCCATACAGTACCGGGGATTCTAATGACACTCACTACACTAACTAACATAAGTAGTATCCATAAAGTACCTGGGATTCTAATGACTCTCACTACTTTAACTAAGATAACAAGTATCCATACAGTACCGGGGATTCTAATGACACTCACTACACTAACTAACATAAGTAGTATCCATAAAGTACCTGCGATTCTAATGACTCTCACTACCCTGACTAACATAACTAGTATCCATATAGTACTGGGGATAATGACTCTCACTGCCCTAACTAAGATAACTAGTATCCATCAAGTACCGGGGATTCTAATGACTCTCACTAACCTAACTAAGATAACTAGTATCCATAAATTACCGGGGATTCTAATGACTCTCACTACCCTAACCAACATAACTAGTATCCATACAGTACCGGGGATTATAATGACTCCTACTACCCTAACTTTCATAACTAGTATTCATATAGTACCGGAGATTCTAATGACTCTCACTGCCCTAACTAAGATAACTAGTATCCATCAAGTACCGGGGATGCTAATGACTCTGACTACTTTAACTAACATAACTAGTATCCATATAGTACTGGGGATTCCAATTACTCTCACTACCCTAACTAACATAACTAGTATCCATATAGAACCGGGGATTCTAATGACTCTCACTACTTTAACTAAAATAACTAGTATCCATATAGTACCG